TAGCATCAACCCCAGACTACATAGGTATTATAGAAAAGTAACATCTAGTATGCCCACGACATCGAATTGACACAAATGGAATGTTAACAAGGCAGGAATTCCACTGTTATAAACATGTCTAAACCTCTTAAATCTCCATTTCCTTAATTTGACCTCAATCAATACCACCTTCATCACGTGTCCACACCTAAAGAAATTTGGGCATACCACCAGCAAAAAGGTAATTTCCAAAGAGTTTTGATCATCGGATTTCATAAGCATACAGAGCACCGGCTTAACAAATTTGCAATAAACAAGCAGACAGGTATAAGCATACGTGCTTCAAATATTAATTGAACTGCAAGCTTCAGACATATTTGTACTTTTCAAGGATTCGATCTCGAAACAAGTTCCATACCTCAAGTAACAAGGATTTAAAACTTGCTGCTAATAGACATAGCACCAGTTCTTCCCGCAAAATCATCCTGATAATAAGATGTATTGTGTGATGAAGTCATCCGAAGCTTGCAGGTGTTATCAATTTCACAATTTGGTAAAAACTGCAATTAACCAGACCAGGCAGTGTATAAATCATAATGATGCAAGTCATTCACAGACCATAATGCATTGAGAAAATGTTTGTTACACGGTGCTTGACAAGATCAGATAGTATAATTAATTAAATCTTGACTTCTTTTTTGTTAATAATATCCAATACTATCCAATTTACCTTCAGAAACAAGCTTCCAGCGATTATGCTGGAACAATATCTGGATCCAGAGGTGGTGATCGCTCATCCTCTACAGGCTTGCCATTAGAGATATCTTTAGTTTCTGTATCTTCTAGAAACCCTTCCTTGAACCTATCATAGTTTGTAGGTTCACTACTCTTAAAGGGACGCTCACCGAGTACTCGGACCAAGTCTTCTTGATGTAAGACCTCCTTCTCCAGTAACAATTCAGCAATTTGTGCTACATGCTCTTTATGTTCCTCGATTAGCAGTGAAGTGCGGTCATATGCCTTAGCTACCCATTCTCTGACTTCACTGTCAATGATCGCAGCAGTCTTGCTGCTGTATGGCTTGGTCATCTCCATTGCATCATCCCTTTGAGGAAAAGAAAGAAGACCAACATTGTCACTGAAACCGTACACAGCCACTTGAGCATAGGTCATCTTGGTGACTTTCTCCAAATCATTCTGGGCTCCTGTTGAGATCTTCCCAATCAAAACCTTCACGAAATGGAAATTTGATCACTCGTTCCCAACTTTAATTACTGGTCACAGAAAACAGGAGTTCGAAACCACTATATGAAATGCAGACTGAGAAATAATGGACAAAAAAGATGCAGTTGAAATCTTATCTTTATGAAGTGTTATTTCCTATACAGCATTACAAGTTCCCTGGGACTAACACAAACAACCATCTGTGGCCTCCAAAAACACTATTGAATAGGAAATGATTCTGTAATATAGGACAGGACTCGTACTGACTGGTTATTTGTATTTATTAACAGAGACTTATGCGATATATATACACAGCAATCACCTGTTCTGCTGCTCGGCCACCAAGTGTCATGCACGTCATATCAAACAGCTGCTTTTTGGTCATCAAAAGATTTTCATTTGGAACATACTGAGCAAAACCAAGAGCTGCAGTACCACAAGGAACAATTGTGACTTTAAACAATGGTTCAGCATGCTCCAAAAACCAACCAGAAACAGCATGGCCAGATTCATGGTAAGCAACAGTTTGTCGTTCCAGCTTGCTTATGACCTGCAGAAGAGAATGGTTCAATTTCATCTCAAATCACATTCAAACCATAGAAATCGCAACTTACAGCACGTCTCCTGCCATTTCCGGTTGCGCTCATAACACTTCTATTCTCAATTTCTCTTTGCACCAGAAGGCAGAAAGAGATAAGTAATTTTCTCTTGACAGAAGAGGGCAGTTTCCATCCAGTTTTGTCCAAAATAGTTTTTCCTATTAATATGAATCAACTGGAAAAAGCCAAATACACTTGAGTTGTAGACTTGTAGTCGTGGAATCATTTTCAAAGAAGTGCTAAGCCAGAAGCAATGACAAGATCTTTACAAAGTTCAGCAGCCCGTAAATGCAAATTCAAGAGAAGAAAAACTAGCTCTTTTTTGAGCCCCATTATAAGTGAAAGAATGCATTTTTACATAGTGATTGATGGAGAATATGTGGTTAAAAAGTAATGAAAATTTTGAATTTGCGTGTAATATTATTTTATTGAAGAATGTGTGGTTGAAAATGAATTTGAAAAAATGAATTTTTGGAATAATCGGGCTCAAACAAGGGCCCAATGTTAATTATTTATTCTAATTTACACAAAACCATTAATTTGCCATTTAAAACTAGATAGCTAGAAATCAATTTGAAGAATGGAAATACAAAACATGGTGAAGAGTATACAAGATAAGGTGAAAATAACATAATCCAAATGATATGAACAGAAAAAGCACGTTACCTTGTTCTTCTTCTCCAGACCCCCAATAACCCGATATATAGCTGCCTCAAAATGTTGCATTGTAATTATTGTACTCTCAGTCCTTGCAGCTATCAGTGCAGCTTCATTGCAAACATTTGCAATGTCTGCTCCAGCAAATCC